GCCCTTTCCTCTTCAACTGTCTCATGGAACAATTCATGAAGCTCAAGCTACCAAAAACCAAACTTCTTAACTATGCAGACGACTTTGTGGTCAACATCAATGGCAAAGACGCCAGGAACCATGCACAAAAATGCCTAGATATTATCAGCAGGGAAGCGGAACGCATAGCAGTGAAAATAAACAGCAATAAAACCAAAGCTATGGCCGTTAAAATGAGAACTCAAGACATCAGACTCTCAATACAAGGACAAGAAATTGAGTGGGTTACCTCTTTTCAATACCTTGGAGTCATAATAGACAGCCAGTTGAAATTCACTCAAGAAATTGAATATCTTCGGCAACGCTGTAAAGCCAGAAACTCAGCTTTGCGCTCCGTGACCAGTCTTAGAGATGGTGCATCTCTACCAGTACTCAAAATGTACTACGTTCAAGCAGTTAGGTCACTCATCGACTATGCTGCTCCTGCTCTTACCTCCCTCAGTGATAACCAATGGGAGAAACTGGAAGTGTCTCAAAATGATGCTCTGCGAACAATGCTCTGAGCACCTTCATAGACGCGTCGAGAGAATCTAAGAATGGAAACCAACTTACCAGCATTAGAAAAAAGGATGCAACAAAGGATAGTCACCATAACAGCAAAACTTGTTGGAACCACCGCCAGACTGTCAATCAAAGACAGCATACACAGATCGCTTCAGAGAAACCTTCAATATAGAACAAGTAAATGGACGGATAATCTAGTAAAGAATCTAGAGAAAGTGGACTTGAAATTGACCATTAAAAACAAAGGGGAAGATAGACCTTATCAACACTTTCGGCAGCCTCCTCCATGGGTAGAATTTAGTCTAAAGATAATCATTGACGGATTACCAGTTAAAAAATCAGCATGTGACTCACAGAGGCTCAAAGCATCTGAACAACAAATGGAAACCATCTCAAGACCTACAACGACTCACATCTTTACAGACGGATCAGTTGATCAAGAAAAAGGTTCTGCTGGGGCAGCAGTTTATACTAACAACCATGAAGCTTACTGGAGCATGAATAGTGGGTGCTCAACATTGCAAACAGAATTATATGCCCTGAAGGAGGCCATAAACTATACAATTGAGAATAATTTACATGATGTCATCATTCATACAGACTCTAAATCTTCGCTCCAGACATTGTTATCCAGTCAGCACAGAGATAATATACAACTCCTCACAGAAATTCAACATATAGGAAAAGAAGCCCATAATCTAGGGCTGTCAATCACCCTAAATTGGATATCAAGTCACATTGGCATAGATGGTAATGAAAAGGCAGACTCACTAGCAAAAACTGCCACTGCTCTACCTGCTGTACAGGTTCAAATACCTCCAAGTTTTTCACAGATTAAGGAGCAAATCAAGAAGAAAATTCTCTCAACTATCAAAAGTCGCCACAGAGCCAAAGTAGCGGAAGGAAGATCCACTGCGATATGGTACGAACAAGCCACTGGGTACTACTCTTTCAAGCCTGACAAAAAGATATCCAAAGACATTGCAGTAACCATACACAGACTCAGACTTGGTTACAAGTGCTGCTGGGAGGTAATGAACCCAATAGTTAAAGAGTGTCATATCTGTGAAACAGAAGCAGAGGCGCCACTATTGCACTACTTACTGGAATGTGAAGCTACTGAAGCCCTGCGCATCAAACTCAACATTAATCCAACGACAGCAGCTGCATTAGATGCACATTCCACAGTGACTACAATGATTAGAAAAATCGTTATAGAATGGGACTCACTAGTGAACATTCTGCACCTACATCCGCCACCTAGGTAATGTTATTAAAACACGACTAAAACAGAAGCGAAAAAGAAACAGGGGAAAAAGGAGGAAACCCCACCTTCATTTAAAACTTTGACCCAAATATCAGAGTAACAAGGTTATCGCAAATAACCGAACTCAATTACGGGCTCACCATAGCCCGTGCTACATGGACATTTCGTTCTGAGTAGCTAAATCTTAAACAACAACAACAACCGAAATCACAATAGCGTGATACATCGAATGAACAAATCCACAAGAGCCATGATGAGAGGTTCGAATTTACGCCCAGGATGATCCAAGACGTACCATAGTCGATTATGCCATGACATGGTTAAAATTTCGAACCCTCATCATGGCCATTGTGTATTTGTTCATTTGATGTATTACGCTATTGTGATTTCTGTGTGTATTGAAGTAAGGGCGAAGAGGTAGAACAGCTTATTGACAGAGCTCGGGTGCTCGGGGGAATTGTGTAAAACCCTGATTTGTGTCTCAGAGCGGCTGCAGGATCCTTGTGAGGGCTGCACTCCCGGTTGCAATTCTTTTAACCATGTCGTGACATAAACGACTAAGGCACATCTTGGATTATCCTGAGCATAAGTTCAAACCCTCATCACGGCCCTTGCGGATTTGTTTATAAATGTTTAGACATCGCCTTGTAAGGCTTACGAGCATAAGTTCAAACCCTCATCACGGCCCTTGTGGATTTGTTTATAAATGTTTAGACATCGCCTTGTAAGGCTTACGGGCTATTCATGCCCGTGCCACCTCTTGGGTGGCTTAATCTTCATCAATCATCAATCTTATAAGGCACACACTGCTACCCGTTGAGGACGTGGACACAATGCGACCCAAACGTCTCAAGGTTAGAGCTAATCGTCCCCCCCCCCCCTTGACGGTCATGCTTTCTGGAAAAGCGATATCCTGAAGGACGTGAAGGACGTTACCGGCATCACACCCACTGACATTAGTCAGGAAGGTGATGATATCGTGCTCTTCTTTTCATGTGAGGAAGAGCTCGGAAAACTATTGACCAACGATGCCATAATTCGCAAGGAGCACCACCTACATCCTCACTTCCCATGTCAGTTCCTGGCCGGAAGAACTGTTTTCACCAGCAGGACCAGCCGGTGGATCGCTGACCGACCGCAACATAAGATCATGGACATTATCGAGGACGAAAATCCAAGCCTGTGTGTATTTTACTTAGAGTTCTGCAACACCGACAAATCTTCAATGAAGATTACTTTCACTACCATAGCTGCGGCCACCCAGGCTGCTACACAAGGTGGCAATTTCTACTGCTTCGGCTTGCAAATACCACCCCACCAAGTAAAAAAGGAATGATACCATGAGATCCAGCAGTGCTTCAAGTGCTACGAGCTCTTCCACCCGACCAACAAGTGTCAGCACCCTGTCCAGAGGTGCAGCCTGTGCGCACTAGACCATCACTACTCCATATGCAAGGCAACAGTCCATCGCTGCTTGCTCTTTGATAGCAATCACCCCGGAATTTCCTACCGCTGCCCCCACAGACATGAAAACATCAAGGCCCAGGTTGAAGCCAAGAGAAACAACACTTCTACCTCCGCGATCAGAGCCCCAGGCCCTCAACCCACCACCTAACCTCCCACCAACTGACTGGAAGACTTTCAAGCCTTACTAAAGAGTGGCTCATCCAACCAGGCGACTTCACATTGGGGACCCAAGGCGCCACAGGCTCCTTCGCAGCCCCCTGCATCACGTGCAGACATTATTCCTGATCTTATTAGACTAGCGGAAAGGCTTGCCGGACCAGACAACCACCATTTTGTCAGTGAACTGAACATATTATACTTGGGCAATGGCCGGACCCCATCATAGCCCCTGGAGCAAGTCTCACTGCCTCCACTACCACTCCGCACACTACCATCAGGACGACCACGAGGTCGATCTCAACACAGACACCGGACCACCCAAGACCCGGGCGGCACAATCAGAGGTGGTTCCCTCTCCAGCTCCCAACACTCCTACCATCACCATCTCAGCAGCCGCGCTAGCACACATGCTGTCTACAAATACCAACAGCACCACCAACGCTCCTGAAATATAGCGTCTACCACCAATCCACGACACCTGAGCCTACCTAAGGCTGCGAGGTGAAAGACGAAAACAGCAACTACGGAGGTTACAGACTCCTCAGACGAAGAAATCTTAGTAGGAGCTCCACCGCAGCACCACAAATACGACACCTACACGGTTCAAGACTTTCTCATGGAGGCCACGTCACCAAACTCCAACGACAGCACTGCTCAGCCGAAGTCGCAGGCAAAGTAAAAGCGGAAGACCTAGAGGTCTAGCTCTTTCTCAGGGTCGTTAATGGTTAATGAGGACACCAAGGTAACTCCCGCAGTTCTCAAGTGCTCGCCCATCTATATGATAATTGGGTGGTAGAATACAACACGGAATGAGGGCACGAGTTTTCTGTACAGAGATAAGGAGGCCACATTCCTCAGCTCTAGTAGCAAAAGCATCGAGCAGAACTTGCATTCTAGGCTCGGAGGCAGCCTGTAAACATATATCATCAGCATAACAGAAGATCGTGTATTATTATTAGTTGCAAGATCTTTAATAAGTTTATGCATCAGAACGTTGAACAACAAGGGGCTGAGGACCCCTCCTTGTGGAGTTCCCAGTTCAAAGTGTTTACTCTCTGTGCTGTTAACACCATTAAACAAAACATATGCTGATGAAAAAAACGATTGTAACTGACAATAAACGCCTTTTTGTTCTGCAAGAAGTGCAACTAGCCTAATGTTGCTAAGACCAGCCTCAATCTCTGTCCGTCCAAGTGGTTGGATACCCTTCCTTCCCCCCCCCCCGTCCATCCAAAATCCTTATCCTGACCCCTTCCCTATCGCTATATAGTCGTAATGGCTTGGCGCTTTCTCCTGATAGTTCGCTTCCAGCAAATGAAATTGACAACCCTGCACAACACACAACCAAACTAACTCACACTAACCAAACACACGGGCCACACCTCGTGCCATGGTGGACACACCACCGAACTTTCCAGCCTCCTCTCCACACCCAAATTCTTTTCCAGAATTTTACCTCCCCATCCCTCTTCCTCCCCATCCCTCTTCCTCCCCATCCTTTCCAAGCTTTTGGACAACAAATCGGAATATGTTGTTCGATTAGATTAATAACCCTTTACTCATTTCAGTAAACTATTATTAGAACAGCTTGCTGAGCTTGTAATACAAATGTCGTGTGCGCCAGGTCTGGTTGCCTCAGTACAATAAGTGTTGTGTGCGCCAGGTCTGGTTGCCTCTGTACAATAAGTGTCGTGTGCGCCAGGTCTGGTTGCCTCTGTACAATAAGTGTTGTGTGCGCCAGGTCTGGTTGCCTCTGTACAATAAGTGTTGTGTGCGCCAGGTCTGGTTGCCTCTGTACAATAAGTGTCGTGTGCGCCAGGTCTGGTTGCCTCTGTACAATAAGTGTTGTGTGCGCCAGGTCTGGTTGCCTCTGTACAACAAGTGTTGTGTGCGCCAGGTCTGGTTGCCTCTGTACAATAAGTGTCGTGTGCGCCAGGTCTGGTTGCCTCAGTACAATAAGTGTCGTGTGCGCCAGGTCTGGTTGCCTCTGTACAATAAGTGTCGTGTGCGCCAGGTCTGGTTGCCTCTGTACAATAAGTGTCGTGTGCGCCAGGTCTGGTTGCCTCTGTACAATAAGTGTCGTGTGCGCCAGGTCTGGTTGCCTCTGTACAATAAGTGTTGTGTGCGCCAGGTCTGGTTGCCTCTGTACAATAAGTGTTGTGTGCGCCAGGTCTGGTTGCCTCTGTACAATAAGTGTCGTGTGCGCCAGGTCTGGTTGCCTCAGTACAATAAGTGTCGTGTGCGCCAGGTCTGGTTGCCTCTGTACAATAAGTGTCGTGTGCGCCAGGTCTGGTTGCCTCTGTACAATAAGTGTCGTGTGCGCCAGGTCTGGTTGCCTCTGTACAATAAGTGTTGTGTGCGCCAGGTCTGGTTGCCTCAGTACAATAAGTGTTGTGTGCGCCAGGTCTGGTTGCCTCAGTACAATAAGTGTTGTGTGCGCCAGGTCTGGTTGCCTCTGTACAATAAGTGTTGTGTGTGCCAGGTCTAGTTGCCTCAGTACAATAAGTGTTGTGTGCGCCAGGTCTGGTTGCCTCTGTACAATAAGTGTTGTGTGCGCCAGGTCTGGTTGCCTCTGTACAATAAGTGTTGTGTGCGCCAGGTCTGGTTGCCTCAGTACAATAAGTGTCGTGTGCGCCAGGTCTGGTTGCCTCTGTACAATAAGTGTCGTGTGCGCCAGGTCTGGTTGCCTCTGTACAATAAGTGTTGTGTGCGCCAGGTCTGGTTGCCTCTGTACAATAAGTGTCGTGTGCGCCAGGTCTGGTTGCCTCTGTACAATAAGTGTCGTGTGCGCCAGGTCTGGTTGCCTCAGTACAATAAGTGTTGTGTGCGCCAGGTCTGGTTGCCTCAGTACAATAAGTGTTGTGTGCGCCAGGTCTGGTTGCCTCTGTACAATAAGTGTCGTGTGCGCCAGGTCTGGTTGCCTCTGTACAATAAGTGTTGTGTGCGCCAGGTCTGGTTGCCTCAGTACAATAAGTGTCGTGTGCGCCAGGTCTGGTTGCCTCTGTACAATAAGTGTCGTGTGCGCCAGGTCTGGTTGCCTCTGTACAATAAGTGTTGTGTGCGCCAGGTCTGGTTGCCTCAGTACAATAAGTGTCGTGTGCGCCAGGTCTGGTTGCCTCTGTACAATAAGTGTTGTGTGCGCCAGGTCAGGTTGCCTCAGTACAATAAGTGTTGTGTGCGCCAGGTCTGGTTGCCTCAGTACAATAAGTGTCGTGTGCGCCAGGTCTGGTTGCCTATGTACAATAAGTGTCGTGTGCGCCAGGTCTGGTTGCCTCAGTACAGTCAGTGTCGTGTGCGCCAGGTCTGGTTGCCTCAGTACAATAAGTGTCGTGTGCGCCAGGTCTGGTTGCCTTGTACAATAAGTGTTGTGTGCGCCAGGTCTGGTTGCCTCAGTACAATAAGTGTCGTGTGCGCCAGGTCTGGTTGCCTCAGTACAGTCAGTGTCGTGTGCGCCAGGTCTGGTTGCATCTGTACAGTCAGTGTCGTGTGCGCCAGGTCTGGTTGCCTCAGTACAATAAGTGTCGTGTGCGCCAGGTCTGGTTGCCTCTGTACAATAAGTGTTGTGTGCGCCAGGTCTGGTTGCCTCAGTACAATAAGTGTTGTGTGCGCCAGGTCTGGTTGCCTCAGTACAATAAGTGTTGTGTGCGCCAGGTCTGGTTGCCTCTGTACAATAAGTGTTGTGTGCGCCAGGTCTGGTTGCCTTGTACAATAAGTGTTGTGTGCGCCAGGTCTGGTTGCCTCAGTACAATAAGTGTCGTGTGCGCCAGGTCTGGTTGCCTCAGTACAGTCAGTGTCGTGTGCGCCAGGTCTGGTTGCATCTGTACAGTCAGTGTCGTGTGCGCCAGGTCTGGTTGCCTCAGTACAATAAGTGTCGTGTGCGCCAGGTCTGGTTGCCTCTGTACAATAAGTGTTGTGTGCGCCAGGTCTGGTTGCCTCAGTACAATAAGTGTTGTGTGCGCCAGGTCTGGTTGCCTCAGTACAATAAGTGTTGTGTGCGCCAGGTCTGGTTGCCTCTGTACAATAAGTGTTGTGTGCGCCAGGTCTGGTTGCCTCAGTACAATAAGTGTCGTGTGCGCCAGGTCTGGTTGCCTCTGTACAATAAGTGTTGTGTGCGCCAGGTCTGGTTGCCTCAGTACAATAAGTGTTGTTTGCGCCAGGTCTGGTTGCCTCAGTACAATAAGTGTCGTGTGCGCCAGGTCTGGTTGCCTCTGTACAATAAGTGTTGTGTGCGCCAGGTCTGGTTGCCTCAGTACAATAAGTGTCGTGTGCGCCAGGTCTGGTTGCCTCAGTACAATAAGTGTCGTGTGCGCCAGGTCTGGTTGCCTCTGTACAATAAGTGTCGTGTGCGCCAGGTCTGGTTGCCTCAGTACAATAAGTGTCGTGTGCGCCAGGTCTGGTTGCCTCAGTACAATAAGTGTCGTGTGCGCCAGGTCTGGTTGCCTCTGTACAATAAGTGTCGTGTGCGCCAGGTCTGGTTGCCTCTGTACAATAAGTGTTGTGTGCGCCAGGTCTGGTTGCCTCAGTACAATAAGTGTTGTGTGCGCCAGGTCTGGTTGCCTCAGTACAATAAGTGTTGTGTGCGCCAGGTCTGGTTGCCTCAGTACAATAAGTGTTGTGTGCGCCAGGTCTGGTTGCCTCAGTACAGTCAGTGTCGTGTGCGCCAGGTCTGGTTGCCTCAGTACAATAAGTGTCGTGTGCACCAGGTCTGGTTGCCTCAGTACAATAAGTGTTGTGTGCGCCAGGTCTGGTTGCCTCAGTACAATAAGTGTCGTGTGCGCCAGGTCTGGTTGCCTCTGTACAATAAGTGTTGTGTGCGCCAGGTCTGGTTGCCTCAGTACAATAAGTGTTGTGTGCGCCAGGTCTGGTTGCCTCAGTACAATAAGTGTCGTGTGCGCCAGGTCTGGTTGCCTCTGTACAATAAGTGTTGTGTGCGCCAGGTCTGGTTGCCTCAGTACAATAAGTGTTGTGTGCGCCAGGTCTGGTTGCCTCAGTACAATAAGTGTTGTGTGCGCCAGGTCTGGTTGCCTCAGTACAATAAGTGTCGTGTGCGCCAGGTCTGGTTGCCTCAGTACAATAAGTGTCGTGTGCGCCAGGTCTGGTTGCCTCTGTACAATAAGTGTCGTGTGCGCCAGGTCTGGTTGCCTCTGTACAATAAGTGTTGTGTGCGCCAGGTCTGGTTGCCTCAGTACAATAAGTGTTGTGTGCGCCAGGTCTGGTTGCCTCAGTACAATAAGTGTTGTGTGCGCCAGGTCTGGTTGCCTCAGTACAATAAGTGTCGTGTGCGCCAGGTCTGGTTGCCTCTGTACAATAAGTGTCGTGTGCGCCAGGTCTGGTTGCCTCAGTACAGTCAGTGTCGTGTGCGCCAGGTCTGGTTGCCTCAGTACAATAAGTGTCGTGTGCGCCAGGTCTGGTTGCCTCAGTACAATAAGTGTTGTGTGCGCCAGGTCTGGTTGCCTCAGTACAATAAGTGTTGTGTGCGCCAGGTCTGGTTGCCTCAGTACAATAAGTGTTGTGTGCGCCAGGTCTGGTTGCCTCTGTACAATAAGTGTCGTGTGCGCCAGGTCTGGTTGCCTCTGTACAATAAGTGTCGTGTGCGCCAGGTCTGGTTGCCTCTGTACAATAAGTGTCGTGTGCGCCAGGTCTGGTTGCCTCTGTACAATAAGTGTCGTGTGCGCCAGGTCTGGTTGCCTCTGTACAATAAGTGTCGTGTGCGCCAGGTCTGGTTGCCTCTGTACAATAAGTGTCGTGTGCGCCAGGTCTGGTTGCCTCTGTACAATAAGTGTCGTGTGCGCCAGGTCTGGTTGTTCCGTGTTAAAGCCGTCTTAAGAAGAAAGTGCTCGTTGAGATGCGTTTTTTTGTTAACAACACTGTCGCTGAACATAATATATTTTCATCTGTTTATATATTCAGTGCCAATATAATGTCAACACTTTTTTAACATCATTAATTGCTTGTATTAATAATACGGCATACACTCCAAATTACATATCTAAATGGACGTTCTAAAATAATATTGACCAACGACCTATTGCCAGGTCACTAGTTAATGGTATTTGATAAGCTAGGGGTTATTTGATAAGCTGAGGGGTTCAGGGACCGAACGTAATACACTCCTACTTCTCTCAGCTGGAAAAAATGTAATATAAACGGTTGTATATTTTACCTTTGAACAAACTCAAAATTGATTTTTGAGTGCTTTTAACCATGGAAACTTATGGTACGTTAGGAAGGGCGATTTACCTCACGTTATTAATTAATTAATAAAAGAATACCTGTATTGCATTAAAGTGACAAACAATATGATAATTTGTCGATAATGGTTCATATAAATGCTGAAGTATTGATACATTATCGCACAATCTATGGACAGTGTACTCTGGTAAACAGATAAGATATCTTAGCTCCCACGAGGTAGTTCTCGATTATGACGGGAAGTTGAATGACCAACAACGGGATATTGAGGTGTGTAGGTTATCATCACATGGGGTCAGTCTCTTGTGGTGATCACCTCACTCTTACCATGCCTTGGAAACTAATTCATATTAATAGTTATACAAAAAGATCTGTACTTTTTGTTAAGATTTTTTTTGCAGCAATATGCAGGTTTTGCCGTAACCTGTTACTAATACATAGATTACAAGCTTTTCAATTTGTTAAGTGTTTTTGTCGCAATATGTTGATAAAATGAGTTCTACAATTTTCCATCTTTCAGATGAAAATATCGCAACATTAATTTTTTTAGGTAAGGTACATACATACAAGAGATTTTACAAAGAGTGATGGATTTATAGATAGAGCTAGTACATACAATGCCTAAAGCCACTATTACGCAAAGCGTTTCGGGCCACTATTACGCAAAGCGTTTCGGGCCACTATTACGCAAAGCGTTTCGGGCCACTATTACGCAAAGCGTTTCGGGCCACTATTACGCAAAGCGTTTCGGGTTTCGGCAAAGTTTAATTTGATCAAAGATCTTCACAGGAATTAAAAGCAAGGACAGTGAACACAGGAACGACTTTAGTTTTTCCAGATTGATGAGCAAGTTTGGTGTTGAGTGGAGACCAGGAAGAGGGCTCCTGGTGCCAGTCGTGATTGATGACCAAGTTTGGTGTTGAGTGGAGACCAGGAAGAGGGCTCCTGGTGCCAGTCGTGATTGATGACCAAGTTTGGTGTTGAGTGGAGACCAGGAAGAGGGCTCCTGGTGCCAGTCGTGACTGATGAGCAAGTTTGGTGTTGAGTGGAGACCAGGAAGAGGGCTCCTGGTGCCAGTCGTGACTGATGAGCAAGTTTGGTGTTGAGTGGAGACCAGGAAGAGGGCTCCTGGTGCCAGTCGTGACTGATGAGCAAGTTTGGTGTTGAGTGGAGACCAGGAAGAGGGCTCCTGGTGCCAGTCGTGACTGATGAGCAAGTTTGGTGTTGAGTGGAGACCAGGAAGAGGGCTCCTGGTGCCAGTCGTGACTGATGAGCAAGTTTGGTGTTGAGTGGAGACCAGGAAGAGGGCTCCTGGTGCCAGTCGTGACTGATGAGCAAGTTTGGTGTTGAGTGGAGACCAGGAAGAGGGCTCCTGGTGCCAGTCGTGACTGATGAGCAAGTTTGGTGTTGAGTGGAGACCAGGAAGAGGGCTCCTTGTGCCAGTCGTGACCAGCACCAGTCTCCTCAACCTGCTTATTTTTGTTTTTTATATTTTTATATTTACATGCAAAGCATGCTGATAAAAACAACACAAAGGAAGAAAACAAATGAACGTAGCGACCGGCCTGAAGGGCCGCTACCAAAACAGTGACAAGAATTACACCACACCACAGGACAATAGTAAACAAATTACAGTAACAAGACAGTATGGCAAAGAGCAATACACAAAATACATACATAAAAGAAACATAGAACACATACAGAAAATAACAATACAGGAACAAGCAAATAAACAGCCCGAAGGGCCGCAGCAAAACACAATCAAGTGCACTAAGAATACACGAATACACAAACACACCAGAACAGGCCCACGCAGGAGCCATGAGGAAACACTAACACGCACACACACACACACAATGTCACCCCCACCCAGTGCACGCAGGCACCGGGAAAACAGAACCACACACACACCAGAGTAAACAAGTAAATCAGCAAACACGGACACGGACTACGGATACTCAGATGCCGGAAACCGTAAACAATACGTCTCCCAAAGCAACAGGTTGTGCTCCGGGAGCCGCATATGGCCGATGCATGAAGTCCGGCACACCCCTGACAAAACACTGTCTGTGCGGAACCCAAACGCAAGTAGGGTCCCACGGAACTGGAAGCACACGATCAATAATATAAAAGCAAAGATCACTGGAGGGCGCACGAGGCCGCGTACCAGCGCGTTCACTAATTCCCACCTCGGGTGCCGCACAGGCCTCCCACGGAATTCTGCGCCCGCTTGGACTCCCCACGGCTGGCATCCTTCTTCAGTACCATGACGATGCCATGGCCAGTGCCAGCACCCACAGCATTGACAGCAGGAGAAGCAACCACCTCCCATCGGGGAGAACCGCCCACCTGAGGCAGAACTAAAGGTACGTCCGAGAGACGTGCGCCGCCATCACCAGCAACACCAGACGCACAGACTTCCGCCACCACCAACTGTGCAGAGTGCGAGGCACCCTGAACCACCCCCTTGACACTCGAAGCCTCACAGTCACTGAATTCACCCACATCCGCCCAGGCAGAAGACGAACGCTGGGAACACTTGGGCTCCGGTCGTATATCATCAGAGCCGGAGGGACCCAGAAACACGGGCCCCACAAACCAGGCGGACCGACGCACGACGCAAGACGGCAGCAGTCGCAACCACACGGGGAACCGGGCCATACACAGCAGGAGGCACGTCCCCACTCCACCACCCATCACAGTCGGGACACAAGTCGAGGGCGCAGGGCCGTGTGCAGCAGTAGGAGACGAGGAAGAGGAGGGCGCCAACGACGCACAGAGATCGCCCGGAAGACCCTCGAGAGCAGCCTGAACAGCGACCGGAGCAAGAAGAACCGTGACGGCGCTGCTAGACCTGGAGGAGGGTCCGCAACATCCGGAGGCGTACTCAGAGACACAGGGGGAGCCTCAGCTGCGATCGGGATGTCCACCTCCTCACCCCTCAAGTCCTCCTCCACAGGGGGCGGTGGGAAATCCTCTTCCTTGAACATGTTCACGGGAGCAGTCGCAGCCTCAGTGCACCCGGCAGCCTGATGCCCCAACAGGACACAACGAAAACATGTCCGTGGTTGTCGGGCATAGTACACCCGGACGTAGTACCCTAAAAGCCGGACAGAAGATGGAATGTCCGACCTCAGGCGCATCCCTTAGGTACGAATGTTGGTCCTCATACCCGTAAACTTGCCAGAAGACAGCGTGTGAATCCGCACACTAACGACGGCGCCAAACCGCTGGAAGAAACGCCGGAGGAGGGTCTCGGGAAACTCCATGGGGGTCCCCATGGACACTTACATACGTCATAGCACTGCTATGATCCGTAATGGACACAGATCCGGTGCCATCCTGCAGCTGCAAGGTACGTCCCTCGTACCTCCGGAGAAAGTCATGGTACACTTTCAAGTCATAGAGGGAGCCGGTCGGCCGAGCGGACAGCACGCTGGACTTGTGATCCTATGGTCCTGGGTTCGATCCCAGGCGCCGGCGAGAAACAATGGGCAGAGTTTCTTTCACCCTATGCCCCTGATACCTAGCAGTAAAATAGGTACCTGGGTGTTAGTCAGCTGTCACGGGCTGCTTCCTGCGGGTGGAGGCCTGGTCGAGGACCGGGCCGCGGGGACACTAAAAAGCCCCGAAACCATCTCAAGATAACCTCAAGAAGATACACCGCTTCACCCACAAACTTTATAACTACACGGTGAGCAGTTACCAGCTCATCACCGTAGATGTCCATTACCGGGATATGGAGCATGTCACACATGACAAGCTCCACTACAGGGTACCCCGCACGTCCAGTAAACTCCAATCCCACGGAGTTGACCCCTCACAACAAGGGGAAGATGGCCGCCCATCGCAAACGCTCCACATCCACACCAACCAGGAGGGAACAACCACACGGAGCTAAGCTGCAACTGCTGTGGGGAAGGAAGAACATGCAGAGTTTAGTCAGTAACTTAAATGTTGCACTGAAAGTGAGACACAAAAACTGTCTTCTCCAGAGCACTTTCATGGCCCTTAAAATATAATGGTGGGGAATGGGACGAGGGAGTGGGGAATGGTGGGAAGGACGAGGGGATGGGAGTGGGGGATGGTGGGGAGGACAAGGAGACAGGGGAGGGGGAAATGGTGGTGGAGGACGAGGGGACAGGGGAGTTGGGGATGGTGGGGACGAGGGGAATGGAGACTGATAGGGAGGACAAGGAGATGGGGGAGTGGGAGATAGTGGGGAGGACGAGGGGATGGTGGAGTGCGGAATGGTTAGGAGGACGAGAGGATGCTAAAAGCGGGGGGGATGATGGGGAGGAAAAAGGGACAAGGGAGTGAGGAATGGTTGAGAGGAGGATGAGGGAACGGGGGAGAAAGGGATGGTTGGGAGGACGAGGGGAATGGCGGGGAGGACTGGGGGACAGGGAAAGGTTGCTGAGCCACAGCAACGCGTGGCCGGGTACAGCTAGTACATAAATGAAGTCGTATTTGTATATTTATACTAATTCCGTTATGTATGTTGGGAGAGCGATGTATGATACTGAACTCACACTCACTTACCCTACTCATCCACTCACAACCACCTCTCACCCAAACATGAGAGTGTCTATAGCTACTATGCATGGTACTACAGCATACGGACTGTTGCACTTCCACCCAAAAAGTTCACATTTTGTTTTATAAGGTTAGAAGACGTTCCAAGAAAGGAGGCAACATCAACCACACTTGTACATGTACTCACACGTGCGGAATTACTAGGCCATACTCAGACTGTGGTGACGAATTCGTAACAACATAGCAATCAACACTATAATTGAGAGAGCAGCCACTGCTGCCTGGATAAATAGATCCCTCCTGCACATCATGGGGGACTTCAATCATGGAAAGATAGACTGGGAAAACAAGGAACCATACATAGGTGAGGAAACATGGAGAGCGAAACTGTTGGAAGTGGCAACAAGGAACTTTTTAAGTCAGCATGTCAAGTTTAAGCCTATAGTTTAAGAAGAATACATAAGGACTTGTCTGAGGCAAACTCCCAAGGGCCAACGAAACTTGACCGCTTGCTCTCCAGTTCATTAATCAATTGAATTTGCGTTCCCACGGTGCCTCAGAGTAGCCCAAATGATCATAAAGTAACAGACTCATTTGACCTCCACCAATTTTTTACTTTGTCACACCATATATAATGTACTCCTCTGGCTGTTTATTAATTTATTAATTTACACATTATCTTTTCTTAAACCTAGCCAGGAACTTACATGGTAATAATTACTGATACGTCTGGTGGCAAAGCAGGCTTTGCTGCCTCCAGACTCAATGTTTTCACTATCTGTTTGCAACATTGTTTCACTCTCCAAGACCACCCTGGTCATAACAGATGCTCACGACTAACGTGTTCAGTGTTAGAAAATGAGGTAATCCTAGTTGAGAGAATGACACACATTCGGGTGGCACAAGAGGAAGTTATGAGATAATTTGGCATCAACTGATGAAACTATATCTATTGGACCAGACTTTGTATCGCCATGGAGGTGAAAATATGTAACACAGGCTCAGCATATTACTAGAATTGATCTTTAATGATTCATCTACAAAGGGAGAACTGACTAGCTGCTGGAAGAAGGCAAATTTTATACCAAATATAACAAAGGAGATAGTGAAGAGGCACTTAACTACAGATTAGTGTCACTGACAATCATCCCCTACAAAGCACTCGAAAGAATAATAAGGATAAGACTAGTTACACACCTAGAAGGAATAAATATCAACAAACATCAACATAACTTTAGGGGATGGAAACCATACCTAACAAACCTACTGGAGTTTCATGATAAAGTAACAAAAGTAAGGTAGGACAGAAAAAGTTGGAACTGCCAAAAAGCCTTTGACAAAGTACCGCACAAGAGATTATTGCACAAACTCGAGAGGTAAGCAGAAGTGGAAGATGACTGACTTGGTTATGGGTAATGGTGTACCTAATGGTACACCAAGTCAGTGTCAGTGAGGGGCGAGAGGTTGGTCTGGTTGCAGGGTAACACGCGGAACATCTCAAGGATCGATGCTGGGACTCATTTTTCTCAATTCTGCTAATTATCTATCTGCAGGAGTTGAGTCTTATATGTAGATGTTTGCAGACGGTGTAAAACTATCGAGAAGAGTTAAGCCAGATGAGGAATGTAAAAGTGTTCTAGATGACATAAAGAAGCTTCTGGAGCTTAACGCCAGCAGGTACAAGCTGATGGAAATGGGAACAGGTAACAGGAGACCAAAAAGGAAGGTACACAACGACTAGAGAAAAAGACCTGAGAGTGAACAGAACAACAAACGTAACTCCGGAGACACACATAAACAGGATGACATCAGCTGCATATCTACACAAGCAAAAGTTAGAACATCATTCGGGAACCTAAATAACGAGGCAGTATGCCACCCCATCACGGAGCTTACATGAAAAAAATATAGGGAAATTCGGAAAGGTTCAGAAGTTTGCAATGAGGCTCGTCCTAGAATTGCGAGGAATGGGGTACGAAGAAAGATTGAAAGAACCAGATCTGACGCCGCTGAAAACGATGAGAGAGAGAGGGGACATGATAGAGACGTATAAAATACTTTAGAGTAGAAAAAACGGATGTGAGAAATTTGAATTTTTGCATAATGGTGGGAAAATGGAATGAACTGAAGGAGTAGGTTGTCAAAGCTAACTCCATTCTCAATTTTAAAAGTAGGTATTTTGGGGAAATAGGCCGGGAGGCATTGCATTAGACAACCGGTAGTTGGAAAGGAGGGATCCAAGAGCTAAAACTCGATCATTCAGGCACAAACATGTAAATGTAACAGTCTCCGTGGTGTAGTGGTAAGACACTCGCCTGGCGTTCCGCGAGCACTATGTCATGGGTTCGTATCCTGGCCGGGGAGGATTTACTGGGCGCAATTCCTTAACTGTAGCCTCTGTTTAACGCAACAGTAAAATGTGTACTTGGTTGTAACAACGATTCTTCGCGGCGGGATCGTATTCCAGGGACCTGCCCGAAACGCTACGCGTACTAGTGGCTGTACAAGAATGTAACAACTCTTGTATATATCTCAAAAAAAAAAAAAAAAAAAAAATACACACCAACCAGGTGTGTATTTTTACCGGCAACCAGGAGGCCTGGTCGACGACCGGGCCGCGGGGACGCTAAGCCCCGGAAGCACCTCAAGGTAACCTCAAGGTAACACCTAAGATAAACATGACATCCTTCACGTGAAGAGCCGACCATGAGTGCTACAAGGCTCTCTAAGTAAGTCTTATGATGAGTGTTGGTCTATAATGGTGCAGCGAGGTGGTCCACCTCTTATAATAACTGACTTCTGGCCAATGACGTTTTTAGAATATTATCGCAGAGACAACCGCACATTTTCTTCACTGCTCAGGAAGCATTATTTATTTTTTTATGGCGGGATGTGAGTTATATTGAGGCGAGGTCACAGGTGTCAGTATTCAACCCGTTCTCGCAAATTTAATAAGTCAATATTGACTTATTAAATATGTGCATAGATGACATACTTAACATAATAGTTTCCCTTGAAAAGCTTCATAGAAAACACCGACCTTACCTAACCTACTTAGTATGTTAAGATAAGCATCTTATTGCTTCGTAATTACAATTATTACCTAACTTATTATTATTATAACCCAGTATTATTCTGGTTTTCGACAATTTTATCTCTAT